TTATGTATTAGCACAGACCCTATACAATATAGGGCCTGTGGTATTAGGTAACAGTTTGGAGAAAGTTATTAATATTGAGTGACGGACCGGGTGAATCACCGAGTGTTGCTGTACCCATCCATGGAGTAAATTTACTCCATTGTGTAAACTGTACACCATGGAGGTATAAAAATCCGTATACCTCCGTCCCCCATGTGTATCTTGAGGTTAATAAAATCCCGAACTCGGCCTGTCTGATATGGGAAATCCAAGAAAGTATACCACTTGACCTCATTGGTAGAATCCGATCGGTAATCGGAAGGTCTTGGGTTCAATACGTTTTTGTCAAAAAAAATTATCTTTTCTTGACATTTGGAGTGACTTCATAATGTAGGCTTAATAGGCCTAGTTGTCACCTTGGAGAGTTGGTTGGGAAGGGATGAGGGGGCGTATTATTTAGAAATCATTTTAGATTGTTGAAAAACACTGTAAAATCCTCCTAGGAAAGTAATTAGTATTATATTATCACAATTTAACATGCTTCTGCCTGGTTATTAGTAACAATCACAAAACACAATATAATTATATTTACACTAAAGTGTATTCAATAAACAATGAATGAGTTGAATGAAAAAAAAAACACATTTACCTAATATATTTTAACATTTTGCCCAACGGTAGCACTGGGCGGAAGGGGTTTCTGTGCCTATTTGTTTTGTTGTAGGTCTATTTTGGTGTTTTAAAATCTTCCAGGTCGGCTAAAGCTTGCTGTTTCTGGGTTATTGTCATTTATTACAGTATTAAGTTAAGTGAGTATTGAATTTTCGTATTTATAAAGATGTACCATAATTTACTTCTACATATTACTACATATTAGAGAGAGCAGCTTACCTCAGTCGGCTAATATGTCTCTAGGTCCCCGGTTCTATTCCCATCGCTGCCTCTCCTTGTGTTTCAGCTGGAGGGCTAAAATACAAGTTACAATAAGTGCACCGTCTTTCGGATGGAACGTTTAAGCCGTCGGTCCCGTGTGCATTTATGGCCCATATGCACGTTAAAGTACGCAGTACACTCTTCGGAAAAGAGTAGGGGATTGTCTCCAGTGTACTGCCCAATCACCACCAGAAGGACCCCACTGGAAATAAGTCGTCTTCTAGACCTTCTTGGGTATTACTTATTACTTGGTGTTCGCATGGAATAACGCCAATTCAATCAAATTCAAGTTTAAGTATTTCATTTTCTACACGCACTCCACTCGCTTAAGCATCTAATTCAGCCTTCTCTTTTAATAAAAGTATATTTTATTTAAACCAATTGATCAATCAATCAATCAATCAATTTATATGAGCGCCAGAATCCCCCCCCCCCAAAAAAAAATGTTCGGCGCGGAACAGCAACATGTCTGAAATTATTTCTTTGATGCGGTAAAAACTGAAGATTATATTTCTGTCTTCACCAAATTATTCCAGTCTTCCATTTTTAATTAAAAGATTGCTTAGGCTAAAATTACTGTTTTTTATATTTTCTAAAAAATAGGCCCCTATTAAAATAGGCCCCTTATAAAAATTGCATCAACGTACGTAAAGCCAGATTTATCCTGTGGTTGAAGCACTCGCTGTTGGATGAGATAAAAATAACATGGAAAATACCTCGGAAATGAAAGAATGAATTGGGCCGTGCTCTACACCTATCATAAAATTACTATTTTCCATAGCGTTTATAATAATACTGCGTTACTTTGGCAACTTGAGTAGATCGACCGTTTGTCGTGTATGGCGGAATAACCTTAAGACAAGACAACGTGATTTAATAATACATCCCCCGGAGAAATGACATTGATTCAACATCTCCTGGGTCAAAAAGGTTCAGCTGAAACCGGGGTTAATTCTTGCAAAACGTGACTCCAAACCCGGATACAAAATGGGTTGTTTAAAAGCAATTAAGAAAATGATTAGGGAGGTCTTTCAAGATAAAGATGATAATAATAATATGATAATAAAATCACTTTATAGCTTGTGTTGACAGTTATAAACGTAAACGTTATTGACACATGAGGTGACCCAAACCCAAAATGTACTTTGAATGCACCATAATAAATGTTCTGGTTAAAATAATATAATGTGTTTTTTTATTTTTTTTAATGCCCCAAACAAATCTAAACAACCACCTGAATTAGATATTTATTTGTGATTTCGACGATATAAATAGGCCTATTTATCTAGGCCTACAACACAATTGATACTTTTTATAACAAATTTACGAAATGTAAAGAGACATCCGGGAAAACTCACTACTGGAAAATATAACTGCAAAAGAATCTGACCAATAAGCTAATTCGTAGTTTAACTGCACATGCCCGTATCCAATGCCAATCGACATAAAACTATGTCATGTGTTATGTTTATTTCGATTGATCTTGATCCGGGCCTGCGCAGTTCAAACTACAAATTTGTCCATAATGAAAATTATAAACAATTGGAGTAGGCCTATAGACCATTCAGCAAAATGAGAAATATTTAAATAGTGTCCCATCTTGGCTTTATTATAGCATTGTATAGATTGTATAGTTCTTGTGTATTATAATTTAGTGTTTTGATATTGTTCTATCATATAAGACCCTTTCTTGACCTGAAATTCTGTTTAAATATTTTATTACTCGCTATTCATTTTTAAAGTTTTATAAACCTCATTGAAAATAAGGTAGTTGGGAAAGTCGACCTAATTGCAGCTTCTTGCTCATACCATAAACCTATCTAAATAAACCATATTAACATAACCGTTCATAATTGTTCCGAAATAAAATACTATTGGATTAATGAATGAATATACAGTTTTATCAATATAATGCATTTATAGTCTATGAAGTCAGCCACGTTAAATCAGTCAATCCATCCATGAGTCACTCAAGCAATGATAAAGTTATGATCGAGAATAGATTTCTACTGTTGTAAATAATAATGATTGTTATCAGGTGTTGTTTTGTTGGAACATAGCATATAACACAGCTTGAATGGAATGCGATGGGATTAGTTACTTGTTAACTTATACCCATTAACTTATACCTACCTGAATGAATATCCTTCACTACGACTATAGTATTTTATAGATTTCACTGATTAATACTTGTTTTTACAAAATTTTATTTGTAAAGAGCCAATATACTCGTCTTTGCATGGGTATCTTTATTTTTGAGACAAATGCCACAGTGTAATCTGATCTTACAGTACTGTATTTATTTTCTAAATTTCAGTTTCTTTTATTTTGTTTTTTATTTGTAATTTGATATGGACATTGTCTGAAATAAGTGGAGTTGATTGGTTGATTAATTGATTGATTTAGTCTTAATCTTAACTTCTTTGATTGATTGCGTTTGCTCATTTTTAACCTTTATAGAACATAGATAGGCCATATATTTATGTTTTTTTACGCTAAATCATCGGCGAAACTACAGCAATTTATTCTTTGTTTAGTCCGTCTCTGTTTCTTGATCTGTTGTAATTTTGATTGTTTGTATTGCTATTGATGTTTGACGAAATAAACGAAATAAAAATGAATTGGCGATCGGTTGCAAGTTGCTCGCTGTGACAATATCAGCAAGGTCTCACTGTTTATTCCTTAGTCACACGCAACAGGCCAGAGGGTTAATAACGTCACTCGAGTAAATCCTCATCAAGTCGACCTAATTTGTTTCCAAGAAAAATGGGTTCATTAAACCTGACTAAACAAAAGTAAAGCAGTATGGCCTCATTTGTGCTGTATAATAAATTGCAGTAATGACGGTTATAATTATTGTAATAATAATGAAAAAATAATATAATTATTTATATATACATATTTTTAAGACTGTTAAATATGTATGTTTGCGTATACAACATTGTTGCACCGTCTACTGTATTCGTGTCCTATAGTTCTTTCTTGTGTATTATAATTTAGTGTTTTGATATTGTTCTATTATATACTCAAATGTTCGTCCTCGGCACCTTATGCCAACATTGTCAAAATGACAGATTAATGTTACATAAGAACATGAAATTTTATAAAATTCGTAAATTTTGAATTGCTCTAACTTTTCATTTTCTTGGTCAATTTTCACAAATCAAATTGCAGTTTATAGAAGCATTTAACAAGCTCGCGGTAAAAAAAAATCAAATGTAACAGACATTGCGAAGTACGCAAAATTAATAAAATAAAAACTAACACCATAAAACGAATGGCACGCATAGACTAATAATTGACGGCTGTACTCGCAACTAGTATCGGATTGTCGATGCCACAGTAAAGATCAAAGGACTGTACGCACGCGCTATGTTCGAGAGCGGAGATGTGCGTCCTTTTGTTGAATTACCTTGTTGTCAGTTAGCATCAAACACGCACGCAGTCAGGGAAATACAAGAACGTAAATACTGTACTTAATTCATTGCCGCGTTATTAAAATTTTATCAGTACCGTATGCCTATTCATTTTTTTTTTGAATGAAATATGTTCATGTGATAGTTTGGGTGCTCAAATTAAACATACATTGAAACTCAAATTGTACGTGGCTTTTAATAAAAATATTTTGTTTATGTACCCGTTATTGTCAGCAAACACTCCCTTGAACTTGTTTTAAAACAGGCTCAGATCGTAACCTGCCCCATGGTGCGGTCATTCACGCATTTAAAATCTCTCAGGTTGGTAACTATGACATTTTATAGTTTATACAATAGATATATTTAATAACTTTGAAATAATACGTGAACGTTCTTCATAGGCCTACCTGACCGAGGCCCTTGTAGGCCTATCATTAAAATTTGTTTTTGGTTTTATAACCAGCTTTGTGATGTATAAATTTGGAATTATTTACCGTATACCAGAAAGTGCTATTGTCATGACACGTATTTGTTAACGGAGTTCCCTGGTTAATGTTAAATTGTTTAAGACCAATTACCTGCACTATTTTTATGTTTTTTCAAAATGCTTGCTGTTTGCATAGTGTATACAGTTGATGCAATAATATGATTATTTTGTTTCTGTTTTTATAGCGGGCAACATGAAAGTTAGTTTGTTTTTGTTAATTGTTGGTGTGCTCGCCTGTACAATCGAAGCTCGAGGTAGAGGATACGGTGGCAAACAGTTTGGCAAGGTTCGAGGGGGATTTCGTGGCAACGGCAAGCGAGGTGGCTTCGGAGGTGCCGAGGGCGAGCGACCAGGTAAGGACTAATTGACCTGTTTGGGACACAACATGTTACAGTTGCACAGTTGTTTTTCGTGCGTTTGTTTCTCATGTGTTTGACCTTCGTATAGGGTCTGTGATTTGACAATCTACCCCAATGTTCAGTTTCTTATTTGTGACAAATAAAATTACGTAAACGGTTTTTATGAATTCGTATTTCTTTTGCAGAATTAGGAGAATATGACATCAGTACAATTTGTAAACAGGAACAGCCATGCCCAGAAGGAATTGAATTTCCCGTCTGCGGCACTGATGGCGAAACCTACACAAGTCCGTGTGCACTACTAAAAGTGAAATGTGAGCTGAAAGATGCTGAACTTAGAATTAACCACCGGGGTGAATGTGGTAGTGAAGTGGAAGGTGGACGGCCAAACAGACCATCTGGACCATTTAACAGGCAAAGGCCAACCGGTAAGCCCATCTTTGGAGAAAGACCATCAAAGGGAAACAGGCCTGAAGGAGACTTTGATGAGCACAGAAGACCAGAAGGTGGAAGAAGACCAGAAGGTGGAAGAAGACAAGAGGGTGGAAGAAGACCAGAGGGTGGAAGAAGACCAGAGGATGGAAGAAGACCAGAAGGGGGCAGAAGACCAGGTAAAACACACATTATCATTAATTCTTATTACCGGTATATTATAAGCCGTTGTCAAATACAATTTTTTTTTTCTAATAGAGTTCTAATCTTTTTAATTTATTCAATATATTTTTCACTCCAACCAAAGACTTTAAAAACCTTACTATACAAGAAGTATGTGAAAAGAGCAAAATTTGTTCAGAGAAGTTCGATATGCCTACACCCGTGTGTGGAACAGATAATGAAACATATTCAAGTATTTGCAGTCTTCTTAGCGTGAAGTGTGAAGAAGAGGACCTCGAACTTAGCTTGGAGTACTTCGGTGCATGCGGGAACGAAATTGAGAGACCATATTTTCCAGGTAAATCTATTTTTTGGACTAGAACTTGTTATTGTTACAAATCAACAACATCAGAAATAAGTATTAGAACTATATATTCTAGGAGAAATATAATTGATAGTTAAGATTGCTTTAATGTATCATGAGAAATTCAAATTATGTTGTGCAAATACAATTAACGCGGTTAAAAAAAATATCTGAGTAGATTCATGAATAAACTTTTTAAAAATAAAAACCTGCAACAAATTTTCCCATATTCAGTGTTCTTATTTTTTTTAAATCAATTTCAGGCTGAAAATGTTCTTATTTTATTCTTATTTTATACAATTTTCAAAGATAGAAAAATTTTATTGTACAGCAGTATATCGCTGTACTGTATTATAGAGGGTATTGTGCATATTTATATACCTACTGCACACAAGGGACGGCCGCTCCATGGGTACAGAGGATTTGTTAGTTTTTCTAATTAAATAAAAAAAAAACCTCATTTTGACAATTTCCTCAGCCTCAAATTTTTCTTACTTTGTTCTTTTCTTTTAAAGCAATTTCAGCCTTGGTGTTTTTATAAAATGTGTTCTTATAAAAAACAGAGTGTATTGTTATATTGGATTAACAATCTTAAACCATTAAAAATGTGGGTTTTTTTTCTGTGTCTTCACGTCTTTAATGAATTCATGAATTTTATACAATATTTCTTATTGAATATAGTTACTACTTTTGCCAAGTACGTTAGTGACCAATGACAGGAATTACATTATTGATATATAAAAGTGCTCATCCAAACCCACCATAACGCTGGTATTATAACAGTTCTTCGTTTAATTATTTGCCCTATTTCTATTTATTGGGATTTATTATTTTAATTTAGGTCGATTCCATAATCGCAGCCGACCAGACCCAAAAGAGAGGAAAGCCATGTGTGAACGCCGCGAAAGGTGCTCCAACCGCAGCCTCGATGGGCCAGTAATCTGTGGTAGCGACAACGTTACATATGATAACTTTTGTGAATTCAGGATAGCAAAGTGTGTTGACATTTTCCTAACTGTTATGAAGAAGGGTGAATGCACAGAAGATCAAGGTAAGATTGATGGTTTGTACTATTCCGTAGCAATCTGAATCTACCGATCCCAGCCAACCTAACAGCAATTTAGTTTTCATAAATGCTGGTCAACGATTTAGATTCAGTTTTGAATTTGAGGGCCTTACCAATTCATTATCGGATACTGAATCAATTATTCAGGCCTACTTATACCTAATATTCCTAACCAATGTTAACTGTTACTACATACCACATTAGTTTGATCACTACTTTATAATAATTATATTATAGTAGGTGAAAGACATACTGCCTGGTAAACTCTGAAAAGTTTTAAATCAAAGCAAGGATCATTTAAGATGTTTAAGCAAGTTCAACTCCCAACGAGACACGTGCACTTGGCATTTTATGCAAATGATATAGGAACGATAGAATCTATCTAGATAGCCGTATGATTAAGAAATGTCGTTTGCTATGAATAGAAATCACCCGGCCAATAATTAGGTGAGTGGTCGCCGATACCAATCACTAGCGACCAGGAAGGGCAGGTTTGTTAGAACTTACTATTCCTCCTCATTTAGGGCAATAATGAGTCAGAAATGTATGTACTTTAAGTTTTTTTCTTAAAAGAAACCAAAGCAAATGTCATTGTATGGTGCATCTTGTGCACGTATACCACCAATTAATCTTGCATTTAGTAATGGGTTATATTATTCTGTTACTTGATAAGGTATCATTTTATTTTCGGAAGTATAAATTTACCTAAATATTGCATTTAACACATATAGTCGTGTGGGTTTTTAAAAATCGGTTAAACCGACCTTTATTACACAAAATGCTAAAAGGGAAAACTCTAGATGTGTACTAAAATATTTATAACATTTGTTTTCACTTCTTTGTAGGTGATCCAATGGAGTACTGCGTGAAATGTTATCATGGAAGACCAAGACAAGATGAAGAGTCAACAGGACCTGTGCTAGAATCTGGAACAGAAACAGAACCAAATAAAGAAGAGCATGAAGGTTTCGGGGGTAGATACCGAGAGTTCCCAAAAAGACAAGGCAGAGCAATCAAGTCAAGGCCACAAAGTCGCAAACATCAAGGGAACAAACCTCAACGTGAAAGACCAGAAGGTGGAAGACCACAACGCGAAAAACCAGAAGGTAAAAGACCAGAAGGTAAAAGACCAGAAGGTAAAAGACCAGAAGGTAAAAGACAAGAAGATGGTAGACCCAACAGGTTCAGACCAGAAAGTGACAGGCCAGAAGGTGACAGACCAAGACCACATCATGGAGGAAGGCACCATGGAGGAAAACATCATGGAGGAAAACATAATGGAGGAAGACATCATGGCGGTCGTCATCCTGGCAGACGTCCAGAACACCACGAAGTATGTGGAACAGATGGTGTAACATATGAATCAGTGTGTGAACTTAAACGAACAGCCTGTATCTTAAGAGAATTTGATCTGGATGTTGAATCCTTTGGACCATGTGGCACGCCAACACCAGCCACTGAAGGTAAATATGAATCTACTGTATTATGTATTAAATTTTGTTATTAAAATTTGTTATCGATTAATGACAAAACACTCTTTTCAACTACACTTTATTTATATCTTTATCCTTTAAAGGTCGAGTGACTCCTCCTGAAGGAAAATGTAATAAGATGACATATTTTGTCTATCTATTGTTTTGTTAAATAAGCTAAATCAGTCAGTTTATTTGATATTATATTTTATTTACTTTTCAGAGCTTCTAACTTTTCCTTGAATCAGTGGTTGTAATTTAAATGGTGAAGCGATGGATTAATCGTACACATTCAAGCAGACATTTTTTTTATATTCATCTTTTAAACTCTTAAAAGACTGAAATTACTTCACTGATCTAATTGGAAACGTGTTGGCGCCAAGATGGTATCATTCCTCAGTTTTAGTGTTGACGTATATCATATCTCCCGATAACTAAGGACAATTTACGCCATGCAAATATTGTTTCAAAATTATGTGCGTACAATACCTAGGCCTCACAATGCACTTAATAACTAGAATTGGAAAACTGAACAAGATACAAAATCTTAATTAATAACACCACTATAATTATTCAAATGCTGACCACAGTAACATAATAGTTAATTTGGTAAAATATATGCAATAGTTATAATGTATCGGATTGGTTGTTTTTTTGTTTTTGTTTTTTTTTGTATGTGTGTATGTGTAAAATATTAGTATACAATATGTTGTTTTTATATGGAAGTACCTGTTTAATCCTACATGTTTTAATAGATTGTTGTATAGATTTCGAAAATAAATGGAGCTAGAATCGAACTTGATTTGTGTCAGATATTTATTTTAATAATATTTCTCCCATATAAAATATCTAATGGTTTGCTATGTAAATTTGAATGCAAGAGAGGAATGTGTAAAATACAAAACAAGCATATACTGAAGTGTTGTGCTGAGCGATTGCTCTAATCTCCAATTGAAACAGGTCTGCACAAGCCTGTTTAAAATACAATGCAAGAATAAACTTTCATCATTCCTGATGATGCCATAATTAATGTCGAAATATTGGCGTGTATTTCAATACTTGGAGTATGTATTATACTTTCTTATCTGAGATTAATAAGTGGACCTTTCGGTTTTAAGAATAAACTTAATTTATAAGCACTGGAAATTGTGTGAATTTGCAAAATATTCTTTATATCGCCGAAGTTGGAAAAAATACTCAAATGGATAAACGTGATGTGGCAGCCACACATAACACTTTGGGATACATGCTACAATACAAAGCATGCATGTAATATTTACACCTGGTCAGTATAGTAATATACAGTAAATTATAATTGAATTTACAATATAATAGTATCATGCGCTGTAAAACGGCTATTGAAAATCAGATAGTCATTATACAAATAATACAGAAAATATGTTTTAGTGGCTAACATTTTACTCGGACTGAAACCTCTTCAGAATAATAATTTTAACTAAGCCTGTACTAAAACTAAATTGATATAATGAAAATCACATGTAGTTTTATCATCACTGTCACTGGTCACTAAATCAATGTGTTTCCCCTGCTACCGGTCACTGTGTCGTGACACACCATCGGGAGGTCTACTGACTCTTATGCGATCAAAACTATTTATGACTTTTGTAATCAAGTGAAGTTTTCTTTATTTTAATTTTAATGATGCATGTGCCGCCGTTTCAAAGGTGTAAATCCGGATAACATTAATTATACAATACAAAGGACAGAATAACAGAGGGCGCTATATATATTCACTTAGTTATCTGAATGGAAATTTTTGGCGAGCTCTGGTTGGTGTTTCAAGTTGGAGATATTGATATATCAATTGATAGAAGTACCGCGTCTTAATAGGAAATAGGATAGTATAATACATAGGCCTACTCCAAGTATATCGAAATGCACGCCATCGTGTCGGGATTCAATATTTCGACATTAATTATGTCATCATCAGGAATTCCTGATGATGACATAATTTATGTCACGATGGCGTGCATTTCGATACTTGGAGTATGTATTATATTATCTTATCTGAGATTAATCAGTGGACCTTTCGGTTTAATAGGAAATCGTATGTAAGCTTACAAACTTTACATCCATTGTTTATTATCGATCAAACAGTTCTACAGTTGAATGTTTTACTTCCAATAGTCTTGTATGTTAATATCTTACATCAATCGTAGAATAAAAACCACATAAATTGAAATTATTAAAATCATCACACAATATTTCGACGTGTGAAACAAATTTATTACACAATTTTCTAACAGAATCATTGCTTGATAGTAACTTTGGTATGGAGTGACAACTTTACTCTTGATAATTAAGTCATAACAGTAGTCTGTTGCTTTACTGTTGCATATCTGGATGTGTCACGGGCGTGCAATATTGTCGATAATTGTTGGCGCCCTCTACCAAAAAGGATCGTGTCTATCAAAGATCTTATAAACACAAGATAGCGTTCTCCGCGATTTACGCGTAACAAATAGAAGCGTCGGTCAAGGTTCAAAAGTTTCCCATTTAGCAAGAGGGCGCCATTCATGCGCTATTACTATTACCGAAGAGAAAAAGTAATCAGTTTTGGAAGAGGGCGTCCTATTTGTTGCCATGGATCTGAGATAGTTCCTGTTCTGCTGTTCAGAGGATTGATACCCTAAGGTAAAGTCGCGCGGTGTACTGTATGGTCAGAGCGGTCAAGGGTCAAAAGTTTCCAAATTAGCAAGAGGGCGCCATTCATGACTTATTACAGAATTTGCACTCGTAAATCTTGTGTTTATAAGATCTTTGGTGTCTATGCAGAATATAAAGATGCTGTAGTATTGTCTGGCGCAAGTAGGCTTTAAAATGATGTCTGCAATTTTTTTTTAAATCTTATTTAATTACTATTTTTTGTAGTAAATGTACTTTCATAATGTATAACAAAAAATATAAAAAATGTGGTTCTATCATACAATAATATACCTATATATTTAGTTTATATGTTAATTTACGTTTGTAAATGGCATACGTTCAAAACAGAACAGTTTTCTTTACAATTGCATATATAGACAATGTGGAAACTATTGTATGTCCGTAGTAGGTTACCGGTAGCGAACTGAATATCCCAGGAATAACGATAAACGCGATGCACTGTCAGTTGCGATACGTTTTCAGAAACAAGTGGATTGTCTGCTGAAGAAACATATCCCAACCTTTGAAAAGTAAGTGCAATATACAGTAAAGGGTACTAGATTTATTGTTTTTTCGAGTATGACACAGAACATTAGTTGTGTCCTTCTTTTGGGAAGAACAAGGTTGAGAGTCAGTTAGCAAGATGATTTTCTAAAATTGTTCTCGGGTGGTGTTTCAAAGTGCACACAAAAGCTTGTTTAGAGTTTTTATCGAAAGACGAGTGCAGTCACGGAAACCCCGAGTGAGCAGAACCACAGTAAGTTAGAATGAATAAACTTAGATCAGACACTATGTTCAAATTGATATCACTGCATATTGAGTACCTTGTTTACTTGATATAGGTGTTTTTGATTGCTCGTGAAGATCAAGATCTGCATATGTTATACCTTCAACATTACGAAACTTCGCATATTTCTTTGTGTTGATTGGTTTTGAATATAACACATCGGGAGACAGTTCTGCTGATAGGTCTGATGATGCAGGTAAGGTGCTGTGATTGGCACAATGTATTCCTTGTGCATTGACATCTGAATTATCTAATGTTGTGGTACCCAAAACTAATGAATGCATACCATTTACATCCGTTGCATGCTTGTTTTTGAGTACGTCGCAATATCTCATTTCAGAAGCTAGCATTGGTGGCGATATCTCCATTATAGATTGTTCATTGTCATCACTTCCATTCAAACATGAAAACGGTATGATTATCAGGTTCTGAACGTAATGGTTTTCGGTACTTTTTTTACCAATGAAAATCCATACAACAATGATTGTTATAAGAATAACTATAATACAGACAGTAGTTATGCTGACAGGCACAATCGACGGGGTCGTGTTTGGGTTGGCGTCATTTTTAACAGGACTGCTCATGTTCCAAGTTGTTAAATAACTAGATCTACTAGTTGAAGCTGCTGAGTAACTAGACCTACTGGGTAAAGTCGGTTCCGATTCAGTATTTTGCGTTGGAGGGACACCTGTATTTACAATCAGGTGTGCACTGATTGACTGATATTGTTTTTCCCTGTTCAATGTGAAGTAACAAAAATATACACCTGTATCATTTTTTGAAACTCGACTAATTTTCAAGTCAAATCGTTTGTTATTTTCGCTCACAACTACAGAGAAACGTTGCCGCTCACCTTCAATGTTACCGTTGAGTGAAAGCACTTCACGATTTTTGTACCAAATGATACGTTCGTCTGTCGTAAAGCGTATGGGACGTGCAAATTCGCAAGTGAAAATAACCGTCGATCCTTCTGTGACATTTTGACTTTGGGGATGTTTGGTGATATACTCAATCTCGGCAGCCTGGCACAGTGCAGTGTATAATACCACTGTAGTCACAAATTTGATCAGCATTGAGCCATAAGTCACAGCCTTGTCCAACATCATCTTACATCAAGTTACTAATGTGTTTAATTATTTTCATCCCATTGTAAAAATGACGCCAATTCACTCATCTTTGTATGTAAATGATTGTAAGCAGACAATAATTTGGTTGGCTAACACTTAAAGCAGCTCTGACGAAGTCCCTCTGTGGTATGATGTCAGCGATCGTTTCCTGATGGCGAATCGGACCATCTTCCATATTTCAGCAAGTGCTTCCTAAATTGACAATAAGCTAGCTCTTACCCGTAAAATGATATACGTCAAATGCGTTGACAACACGTTGTAGATAATTACAATATTGCTGATTCAAAAACAGATGTTACAAACTTGCGGGAAAGTTTAGTAATAGTATCTTGAGATTTAGTTCGATAAAGGCATGAAGTTTTTAACTTGGGTGTTGGATATGTCATCATCAAATCTCCCATGCATTGTGGTCGTCACCACATTCAAACCTATCTTCATCATAGGGTGTTGCTATAGCAAATGTGTTAATATCTTCACATTCAAATTTAAGATTATTTGAACTGGGGTGTTGTTGAGGTAGATGACATAATTTGTTAACTCTCAAGATTCGACCAATGCTATTTCATGCTGCTTGTCATGACTAAATTGATCAGTTAACAAGAATGGTTCCATGTTTTTCCACAAAAAGCAGGTTAAACTAATTCACTGTATCTCCTGTAACTGGGCCACTGAGGATTCGTTTGAATAAATTAAAGCAACTAATCCTCACTCTCTTTGCACGTGCGTAGTTGAACAGCACTAGTTCTTGCACACAAATAATCGCTTCTTAAGCACTTAACGACCATGAGATTATGACATCATTTGTACCAATATTCGAGCACCGTTGACGTTTTTTTTTTTTGTTGGAATGTATTAATTGACAGCAGTGCATGCCAGTCGATAATGGTATAAACCCAAAGATAAAAATACAACAAAATAGAAGAAAGGCTCTCTTATATTACAAACAAACGAGATAGACTAAACATTTCATTGTTAGCATTAGCATATAAAGTCATTTTGCTATTGATATTTGCAAGCTTTCACCAAATTGAATTTACTATAACTCCTGAGAGTATACCAGGCTTTATATAAAGAATAATATAGAATTATCAAAATATCAAACATGTCATGTAACTAAGTAGGATTATATTATATTTTATTGCTTATTCGTAACATTTAATAACATAAATCGTTATTTTGTGATAAACATTTGAAGATTCCCGTAGATCTTCCAGTGTTTCATAGAAACCGCTACACAGCATAATAACAATAATTGATAAGTTCAAGTAACATGTACTTATAAACTTTCCACTTCCTGGCTACACTTCACAATATAGTAGTAATAATAATGGATATGATAATGATGCTGATACTGATAATTATAATAAGGATATAGTGTTAATTGAAGTATAATATTGATGATGATTGTAATGATAATATTATAAATATATATTAATATTGATTGTTCCTGACACGTTTGACTGTTAGTAAAAACTTCAGTCTAACATTGTTGGTGTAATTTTTAAGTCAATAATTTTAATAATGATAATACTATGAATACACTGCTATTTTCCCCATGCTGTACTGTACTATGATTTAATGTTGGGTATTCCACTGGTTACGGAGCCCACGACCTCCAGGTATCTAGCCTGGCGCCAAACCACTAGGCTACCCAGCTCGCGCTTAGTGACGGCTAGTGTTGAATCCGGTAGTCTAGTGGTTATGGCGCCATGTTAGTTATCTGGAGGTCGTGGGTTCGATTCCCACCCGGTCACTTGCACATTTTTTCGCAAGTATTAGGGAACGTACTGAGTATTCAGTACGATAATACGTCAGGTAGGGCAAAATATTACACCTATGATATTCCCTGACGTAAACTCACATCGTAATCACATTTACCTACATATGAATTAAAACTTTATTCAAAATTGATATTTATAATAATAATAATAATAATAATAATAATAATAATAATAACAATAATAATAATAATAATAATAATAATAATAATAATAATAATAATAATAATAACAATAATAATAATAATAATAATATAAAAATAAATTCGTTTGAATGTTTGTATGGTGAAGTAACAATGTATGTTCATGTACGTTCTGAATTTTCAGAGTTATCTACGTTGTGTACTGCAAACATTTTAATAACAATAACAATTATAATAATAACATGATTATAGTAAAAATACTAATAATAAAATTTATTAATTCTAATAATATGGCAGATACATACATATATTTTTTTTTGGTTTACCTGTAAAATACAGTGCCACTGCCTTATAAGATTTTTTTATTATTATCAAAGAAGAATAAGTAGTCGGTTTATTGTATACTATAGGTTGCTATCGAAGTTGCTATAAGTTCTAACTATTGTGTCGACGTTTTCTTCACGTCTGTAAGGACTGAGCTATGGTAATGTTGGGACGGCAATCTCAAGGAAGTCATTTCAACTGTATGAGAACTACTGCCATTATTTTCTTTGAGTAAATTAACCCGATGCATTCTATCGGTGTTGAGACTCGTGTACTCACTAGATGCTCCTTCATCCTTTATGTATTCCTGGTACTCCGACCGCTTCTTGCCTCTGTGATGACTAAATCCGTTCCAACTCATAAATCTCCTTCGTTTTCCATGCTTATTATCAGATTGAAAGTGCAAGTGTTGGTGAATCAATTGGAAATTTGCAACTTGTTTTCTCAAGCACAGAGCAGTGATGATAATTGTAATGAAAATAATAAAGAAGAATATACCATCTGCCATCAAATGCAAAATAAAGGCGCTTTGTAATTTTGAGTCCAGGTAATCATAATCATTAACATCGTCATTATTTTCATTTGTCTTTACAGTTTTAGATGTAAGTGTACTCGGACGATGAGGCGCTATCAGCTGCGACACCATCGAAGGGTGTCTACTTTGGTGAGCTTCAGTCGCTTTTGTTGGAATTATTTCTTGTTTAATTATCCTCTGAACACGGAGAATTGCATGGTTCGATGCTACCGATAAACCTCTTGAAAACACCACACAGAAATACTCTCCAGCATCTAAAACTGTTACTTCAGCTATTATCAACGTAAATCGACTTGCTGAACCACTGATCAAAACCTGTGTTCGGTTTTTAGCATTACCAAGCGAGTCTGAATACACATCATTATTTCGTGTTAAAGCTCCTCCCGCACCTACCTTATACCACGCCAAATGCTCTGCTGTTTGACTTAAATTTAGTCTTTGATTTAATCCACATGTCATTGAAGCAGTTTCACCTTCTTTGATAGATATGTCCATTGGTGGCTCCAAAAATGCTACAGGTGGAGTAAAGCACAAAGAAAGATGAAGATATGAAAACAATAAAGCTGAGAAAACGTACAGTTCGCTGAAAATCATCTTGCAAAATTCAATATTATGAATTATCAAATTGACAATCACACATAGATGACGTAACTACTTGACAAACAATAGGTATAGTGATACAGATGGTTGTCGAATTATATCTTCCATAAGAATCTTAACAAAGTTCAAGTATTTCAGGATCACAAGTGTTCATGCCTTCGTTGGATTGCTCTGCAACATTAGTTTCGGTGTATTGTGCGACGTCCAAAGCTATAACCCTTGACCTACAATACACATGTAAATAGGCTGCTCTACCAGAGCGGGTGGACTTCACGCTGATTTTGGTATGTTCCCGTTATTATAATTTCACAACCAAGGCCAACAATGTGCCAACGACATATTTTTACCAACTTTTCTGTTCTAAGGTCAACCAGCATATGACCTTAATGTGTCTGCATAATCTTGCATCGCAATGGGCAGGCTCATAGATCGTGCTGCAGTAACTTCCCCAGAGATTTCGAATCATATCAATAGACTTGATTGTATAGTGTATGATTTGGTGAAAGTTGTCCTCATGAACCAGGTGTGACCTTATCAAACCTTGTTTTTAGATGGAATGAACGAAAAAGTTTTGTGATTAGCTTTCTCACTAACTTTATACGATGAATCATCCCATACAACGTTATTAACATCGAGACAAATGCAGGAAACAATAGATACTCTGATAATCTTTCTGCGCAGCAAACTCAGGAAATGGAATCAACAAATTAATTTTCAGAAAATAAACTTAAATTACATATTATCCCACGGGTTTCATTCATCGCCACCACCCAGAGCCACCTTTGTTTCTTGTGGCTTGGTACGACCGCAACTTACATTTTGCATATATTATCACTCTAAGGACCTGACATATGAGTATTTACTTACTGACCCTTTCCGAAAGAGTCATCGCCAAGCCTGCTGCATTATTAAATGATTAGAACTAAGCCTAATTATTACAAATTAAATCGACAGTTATTTCGATGGCAGTGACTATTGCTTCCGGAGGTCTAAAGATTGTGATGCAAGATTGTGTTAATTAACGCTTATTTATCTATGATGACAGGCATAGGTTAGCAAAGGTAGCTGGTCCAAAGTCATTGATGATAAGTAATTTATACACTGTTTTGAATAACTAAAATTTTAGTATGAATTTTAATATGGCGTCGTTAAACGTATATGCCTACCTTTAAGTGGTGACATTTAAATGTGCTTGTAGAATGCGCCTCCAGCTCAAATACGACTTACACCACTATTCAGTTGTAGGTTTCAAAAAAGTACTTAGGAGGTATATATTTTGATCATTTTTTTGAAAAGCGCTTTATAAATGATTTTAATATTGTTCATTATTACAAAAAAAACACCATCAAATTAGTTTTACCGATTCAAATAAAGATTTGCTATAAAAAAAGTATTACATTGATTACCAGAATATGCACACAATATGAAGCTGACTTAATTGGTAAGGCATTTTCCATCGTTTTCTTTTTCAATCAAAATTAAAGAAGTAGTGTAAAAATTTTAATTTCAAAACAGTAAATGCATTTATTACAAACATTTATTATTTCATTATTTTTTGTTACAAAACAGTGAAATTAAATATTAGAGTATACTAAGCAAACAGACAAACAATGATGAGAATAGATTTCCAAATAAATCGCACCAAATTATTGTCAGTGTTGGTGATCGGTGCATTTACTGACACGAAACAGAATATTAAGATACAATGACTTTAATTAAAAACAATAGCGTTAGACATTCTTATACTAGTAAATGAAACTTTAAATGCCAGCTTAGACAAATTATTTAATATGGACATATTAAAAAAATGAAAGTCTACACGTAACTTAAAAAAACTATTTTGACATGACAACAATAAAATTAATTTCAAAAAGAAAGTAGGCCATGGTCTCTAACAAACTTAAAATAAAAATTTACTGAAATAATAATAATAATAATGATAATAATAATAATAATAATAATAATAATAATAATAATAATAATAATAATAATAATAATAATAATAATAATAATAATAATAATAATATCATGACGCTAATATACTCTTTAAACGATTAGACTAGCGTTTAACATTTAAAAAAAGAATATTTTGAAACCCATTTTGTGTATCACCTGGGATGATGCTTTGAGTGAATGCAAGGTAACGTTGCCGGAAATGTTTCTTTAGAAACTTAACAGCGCAACACAAGTGATTCATCTTTTCTGTTTAATTCACTAAATGTATCTGACATTTTTTCTCAAATGAGTCACAACTGACAATTTGTGGGATATGCAATACAAGGCTAACGTTTAGTGCATGTCAAACTAAACTTACATTACATCGAATCAGTGTTTGTCTCTCGGTTGACCTGGTAAGCTTTACAATAAAATTAAGTAATTCTAATCGCTACATTGTATAATTTTCATTCGCATATTCATTGAAATTATTTAAGAAAAAGGATATTATTATTATTATTATTATTATTATTATTATTATTATTATTATTATTATTATTATTATTATTATTATTATTCCTAATTATGTAACTAATGACAGTGTAGTTGCTAGTAGAAACACTGATAACTAAACAATTCTACGTTAGGGGTAAAACTCTTTGGATAAACCAGAAATACAGTAGGCTTAAAGCATACGTTGATGTCTAGAATTATTATCTTATGAAATCATTGCACTGCGTGTCTTTTACCAAACTTAGGCCTACATTTACCGGTTGTTTTCAATAGTAGGCCCCAGCGATCTTTTAGATTTCCTAATATCTATGCAACAAAGGAGACACATATTCAAGTCTGATAGTGTTTAGGGACTAAGCAGGAAATGCCGTGCTGCCTTTGACGTGATTTCATTGAGGTGCCTCAGATCAGTGAAATCTATTCAGTTAGGCTATGCTTATATCTCAATTTTATTTGGAAAACAGCACATTTATTGCCACAGTATTTGCAGATTCATCTACTCTTAGCATTAGGCCTAATGTCTCAGTGGCAACTAATTTTTACTTTGCAAATGAATATGTTAGGTCTAGAGAAACTTGGTAGACAAGGAGAATCGTGATGATTATTTGCTGTTCCAAGAATGTTTCAAGCTGTACAAGCAAGTCATCTATGAAAGTATTTAAGCAATTAATCAATCAATCAATGTTCACTGAAAACCATATTTGTAAAATTATGAAAATTAATACATTTTGGTAAAATTATGCGTAGGCCCTAACGATTTTAGTGATTTGCAAAACAGAGCCAAGCCTACAAATTGTATCAATAATGATTATAATGAATCAGCCAATGTAGAGATTTACAAGAAATAGGCGGTCAAAACTTGATTTACACACCTTGATTAATACCTTTAATTGAAGTTTCCTGTTGAAAGTTTAGCAATGATTGGTTATTTTGTCAGATAAACGCAATCGAACCTAGTACCGTAATGGTTCACCAATTAGTGACATAATTCTGACTAATCAAATAAAAAAAAAATGAGTTGTGATTAGGGGAAAGTGGGTTGGGATTATTTTTATATTTTATCACCTAATGCACATCTCTTGACCGCAACCACTATCTACCAATATATATACATATATATATAGGATA